TGGAGCTAAATGCAAATTAACATCTGATACTGTTGACATGAATGAATTTAATGAATCCTGCAGAGGATAAAAAGGCCAGTTATATAGAGACCCCATGGCAGAGGAGGTAGAATTGGACCCTCGGAATTAGGAAGACCTAGGATCATACCCTGCCTCTGACTTAGTGTGTGAACAGAGGCAAATGACTTAACCGCTGTGAACCCTGGCTCACTTATATTCAAAATGGCAATAAAATGACTGATTGGGAGGCAGCAAGTCATAGAAGAAAGAACATTATTGCTACAATCAAAGGACCTGAGTTCAAATCTCTCTTGACACTTAATATCTGAGTGGCCTTGGTCAAGTCTCTTAACTTTGCTGGGTTTCAGTCTCATCATCTGGAGGAGTAGGACTAGATGACCTCTAAAGTTCCTTTCAGTTCTATATCTCTAATCCTATGAAGCAAAAATATTTGCCAGGCAGGATATTGCATTAATCTTAGAGACTGCAAAACTAAATCCAATAGAGTGGAACATCCAATCAGCAAGAAATAAGAATAAAGAACAAAAACGAAATGGATTCAATGTTGGCAATCTCAAAAGGAAGGATAATTCGGGTGAAATATTAATTATAAACTCTATGGTTTTTTCCAAGAGATGGAATTGCATGTTTCTTGATTAAGAAGCACCTGCTGGCTGTTGTCCCCCCCCCCATAATGAGGCTTGCTGGCTTAAAGAATGAATACTGACATCATCCTAAATGGTAATGAAATGATGACAGGGACAGGACATCGTACTGCTTCTTTTTAATGTACAATTCACGTCAACTTAGGTGGGTGGATCCATTTGTCAGCAGTTATATTAAAACCAAGAAAAGCATAGACCCATTTAAGGAACATAATTTTTAAAAAGAAACAAAACCCACTCTAAGACTGCACATTTTTGTTTCATATTAGTAAATGAAAAAAAAAAGCCTATTTTCCATCACTAGACTTGTTTATGCAAATCCTCGAAAAGTCAGACTTTGACAATCAACAGCAACAAAGAGTTTTCTGGCCCTATCAGGGTGTGTAGCTCTGTGGTCCCCTATTTCAACTTTATAAATATTTATCTACTTTTTCACACCTGTAGTTCTTCTGTGTAGGCAGCTCCTGGTGAGTAAGCCCCTTCTACTAATGCATAAAGCTACTGTTCTGCAACTTAAAAGTTAAAATTCAGATCCATAAAAAAATGCCTAATAACATTAAGGGGTATATATTTGTCAAACAAGTGGTATAGTGAAAAAAAGACTCTTAATTGTTTAGGAGTCATAGAAGATCAATGTGGTTGTTGTCTTTAGGGAAGGAATCAGATGGCCCATAAAGAAGAGGACATAGCTAAGGGTTCTCAAACATGCCTAACTATTTTTTTGTCATGGACCCCTCTGGAAGTCTGTTGAATGAAGCCTATGGATTTCTTCCAGAATGTTTTAAAATGCATAAAATAAATAGGATTATAGAAGAAATCAATTATATTAAAATTATTGAAGCATTAAAAAAAAAAAAAGGTCATGGACCCCAGGTTAAGAACCCCTGCTCTAGAGGGAAAGGACAAAATCTTAGCTCCTTTCCAAAGACTGGGAGCCTGGGCTATATCTGAATTATTGTGTTATCAGGGACTGTTCTTTTTTGAGTAAACTGACTTCTGTCATTAAGAGGTGGACTGCTAAGCCGAGCTGGCTAGAAAACACCATGACCCCTGACTGCTGTCCCAGAAGCATGCACAGCACATGAAAAGAAAGGCCTACAGGTGATGCACTTCTTGGTTATTTTCAAACCATGCCAAAGGCACTCTGGCCATCTTCCTCATCCACCTTCCACCAGAATCTGGGCTCTGACCCTTGGACGCTAGGCTCTAAGAATAAGCTTTCACTTTAGGATCAGCTTGGTGATGCAGAGGATCACCTGTGAGGTAGGTGCTATTATTATTACCATTTTACAAACAAGGAAACTGAGGAAGACAACTGTTAAATGACTTGCTCAAGCTCATACAGCTAATAAGTATCTGAGGCCAGACTTCAAGCCCAGCAGTCTATCCACTGAGGCACTGTCTACATTCAATTCAACAACAACAAAAATAAACAAGGCAACTTATAAAGGAAAAAAAAGGTTACAGAACGAGCCACTTTTTTCCATAGGAAAAAAATCTGTCAGAATTTGAATTTTAGCTCAGAGACTCTTAGAATTTACAGCTAGAAGGTTGATATTAATTTGGCTAATGTACAAGAGGTGGTTTCACACAAAAAGGCCAACTTAAAAATTAAATTAATTGATATGACAAAATATTTGGTGTCAACTAAATTTCCTCTCTTCTCCAGGGTCTAAGCACAGTGCTCTAGACATAGAAGATATTTAATACACTGCTTCTGCTGAATAAGATAAATTAGTATAACCTACGTTGTGTTTTTGGTCTAAAACAGTGACAGAGTTCGGATTACAATCCAGTCAGTCTTTAATTCCAGTTCTTTGGATTTTGTCTCTTGATGCTTCAACTTCCTCTTCTATAAAAGGAGGCTGGAAGATCAGATGACCCCATAGGTCTCTTAGCTCTAAAATTCTACACCTGTAAGTCACACTGTGAAGAGCTTACCACTCTAGTATAATAAGAGCAATCTGCATTGATAAACATATTTAAATAGGTTTACAAGACACCTTTGGTCATTCTCTGCCCCACCCTGGGCACTCTGCGTCACACTTAGCACTCTTTCTTATTCTCCACCCATGATGGCTGTACAGACAGCATGACTTCATAGACTGCTTCAATTCAGCTTAAATTTTCACTTCTTCTTTATGGATCTGTGGTTAATACCTTTCCCATTCCAGGGAAGGAGATTTAGGGATTTGCTTCAATGAATTTATACTGGGTTGCACAGAGACAAAAATAAATGAAAGTGAAGAGTATCAAAATACTTTATCATTTACTCTGCTTAATTATGTCAAGAAAAACTTAAAAGGAGAATTATTCCTGGAAAATCAACCATAAACAGTAAATGAAGGAAACTGAGAATAAAAAAAAAGCTGATGTCCTACTTTAGCAGCAATTAAGGTTTTAAATGTTACTGGAATCTTGAAAAAAAACATTTCAAACAGTTTTATATCCATGTAATTATTTGTTTGCCTTTAATCTTGGCTTACTGAATATACTTGGTAGAGTAGCTTTATGATTTAATCTAGAATTCTACCATGATCAATTGTAGATAAAACAAGCACAGAATCAAAAGGTAAGAATGAAACTTAACAATGACTTAGGGAAAAAAAAAAAGGCCCTCCCTGTGGGTTTGGCTATTATTCCACTAAACTATAGGGAACAACAAAATCACTTTCTCTAAAAAAATTGTTATTTTTTGTTAGAACTTGTTTTACTTAAGATGGTTTTGATTTCTTTAGAAAAAAATTTGGATTTGAATTACTTATAACATTCGTGCTACTGGGTAGCCCATCTTTAGCCAGTCAGTGAGCACTACTAGGCTTGTCCTCAAAACACTATGTTTATTAAGATCAGAATAAAAACTTATTCCTATACTGCTTTAATATTTTAAATTATTTTTTCTATTCTCTATGAAGATTAAAATTTTTTAAAATTAAAAAGTGGAATATACTAAATTTTATCTTCTATATGAAAAGGAAAGAAAAAACTTCATTGAAATGACATAACTAAAAGTTCTACTTGGATAATAATTCTTATGTGCTCAACTTTCTTTTACTGCCTTATACAAGTTACATTTATTAAAGGTCTTTGCTAGTTATTAATAAGTATGACTTAACTGTATCCAGAGACCTGTAAGTAGATATTTCATGAATTTCAAAAAATCATTACTAAAAACAATTTATGGCGCATATATGGGGCACACACTAGGCACATAGATACTTGTCAACTGATTTAAGTAATTAAGATTTAAGTCCTAATAACAGAAATTAAGTTAAGATTCTCTCTTGTGTCCAGGACAAGTGGTAAATCACCCCCATCCCCCCAAAATTAACATCTTAATTATATAAGTTAACATTCCATTTTAAAATGTGTGCATATATATATATGTATAAATAAATTCATCTTAAAGTATCATTTATTTCTAACTCTGATCTTTGGTATTAAATCTCTCAGATTTACCTCTGCGATCTCTATCCTTTTTGCAAGATCATCAAGAGAAAGGCAGCTCTCATCAGAAGGCAGAGGCTCCTGTAGACTATAAGATGCTTCTTCAGGTGAAAGATCTTGAAGGGTGTCAGAGTCTTCCTGATTTTCTTCATATGGAAGACAAGGCCCAGTGTCTTTTAGGCATCCTTCTAGAAGCTTTTTCAAGTAATCTTTTGTTTCTTTACTGACTTCCTCCTCCTCCTCCTCCACCTCTTCCTCCTCCTCCTCTTCTCCCCATTCCTCTGGTGCTATACGTAGTTCTGGATCCTCCAAGTCAGATGCTCTGTTATCTTCACAACGCACATTTTCTGGTGGTAATTTTCCATCACTGTCTGTAAGATCGGGTTGCTGCTGATTTAATGCATTGTTTTCAAGTTCTTCTTTCGCAGTCACATCAGGAACATCCTGAGGTTGCCGTAGGAGTCCATTTCCTTCAGCCTGTAAATTTTCATCTTCAGGATTCAGAGAAAGAGGTATATGTTCACTGCTTGATAAAGTCAAGGGATCTACCATTGATCTATCAGAAATCAGCACCTTAGGTCTGTTAGCAATTCCCTCTCTTTTGGCTACATCCTCACAGACTTCTGTCTCACCCAGCAGTAAGCAGCTGTCCTCCTTACAAGGATTCTCAGAAGAATCAGAGCCAGGCCCGCTGCCCACTGTCTCTGAGGGCTGGGTGTGTGACTCCGATGTTGATTCAGCCCTGCACTGCTGCTCCTCCATGTGGTCTTTGCTGGCACTTACTGAAGGACTGACTGCCTCCATCAGCTTATCACTCTGATTATTGGACAGACTCCTCTCGCTTTTCTCTTCCTCTTTATGCTGGTTTTCTTTCCTTGATTCAATGACAGTCCAAGTTTTGCTCTCTAATGATTAAAAAAAAAAACCTTTCAATATGAAAAATGACTTTGTAAGTGAATAAAGATAAGACAGAACATTTCTAGGTGGAATCTATTGCAAGAATATTCAACTTAAGAGTAACAAGGTAAGAGTAAGCTTAATTATTTCCTAATCAATGTATTGGCAAATAGAACTAAGTATATCTCATTCAAAACCATTTAAAAAGGTATTAATGAAAAGGAATGGTGCAGCGGAAAGAGTGCTGGACCTGAAGTTGGGAAGACTCATCTTTCTGAGTTCAAATCTGGCCCCAGACACTTAATAGCTTTGTGACCCTGAGCCAGCCAACCCTGTTTGCCTCAGTTTCTTCACCTGTAAAATGAGCTGAAGAAGGAAATGGCAAACCAATACAGTATCTCTGCTAAGAAAACCCCAAATGGAGTCAGACATAATTGGAAAAGATTGAACTGAACAGAAATAGTATTTTTAAAATAATCTAGACAGTTTTTGTACTTTTATTTAGTACCAAATGACATTGTATTTGTAAAACATTTTTCAAGTTCAGAAGGGTAACGTGTATTATTACAAAATACTTGTTTGAGGCATAAAAATGTGGAGTTTTTTTTTTAGGATAAAAAAAAAGATCTACACCAGCAAGATTTCTAATGATTATGAAATCTCTCCCCCCGCCACCCTCCCCCCCCCAAAAAGAGGAATCTGTATTTGTTCTTATCTACTGGAATTTACTCCATGCCTGGACTATTTTAATAGCTTACTAACTGGTCTTCCTGTATTCATTTTTTTTTCCTGCCTGCAATCCATCCTTCACACTGCTGTCAGATTAATTTTTCTTAAGCATATATATGGTCATGTCAATCCTGTTCAAAACTTTTCAACAGCTCCCCACTGCCAATCAGTTTCAAATCCTCACCTTGTCATTCAAAGCTCTCCACAATCTGTTAACACTACCTACCTTTCTTGCATATGATTTCCTGCACTGTCCACTTATAATTTAGCCAAACCAGACTACTACCATTCCTTCATATACACCCCTTCTTCTCAACTTCTTGGATGGCTTTCTCCCTCAAACTGTCAAACTTCCACCATCTCCATGAAGTCTTCCCTGATTCTGCTTGCTAATGATCCCGTTGGCAGATCACATTCTCTGGAAAACTGTAAGCTCCACAGGGTGGGGCTAGCACTATGTTTTATCTAGACTACTAGACTATCCACAGCCCTTATCACATGGAGGGCTCTAACAAGGCAGGCTGATGATTCAGAACTGGGAAAGACTTTAACAAGAACCTTAACAGATGCTGAACTGAACTGACTTAAAATATACATATTTATCTAAGCATAATAATCTTGAAATTACTTTCTTTGAAATTACATGCAAATATATTCTAGAAGAAAGTTTTAAAGTAACCACAGAGGCAATTTAACAAAAAGCCTAATTATTTTTTGGACAACCAAAAAAAAATTTTTTTTCAGAATGTAAAATAAGTATAAGACATTCTAAAGAGGCAGGGTAGGGATTGGACCTGTGGGAGGGAACTCCCAGATGAGGAAACTCCTTCTACTACAAGTTGGCATCTTCTCTGCAAGTTATAGTCTTAGAGAGTTGCTTATGGTGATCATTGAAAAGTTAAGTGACTCACCAAGGGTTACACGGGCACTAAGTCTATTGTTTGGGGCAGAACTTAAACCCAGGTCTTCCTGGATACTAGGCCAGTTTTTTACACAGTACATTACACAGGATTGGACTATTTAGCCTTGGGGTACCTTTTATCTCTGGATCTACATGATCCTATGATCCTACTGCCCCCAGGCCCAGGGACTTCCATCCCTCCTCTTCAAGAAGACTGCTCATCTTCCTTCCACGCCCTCTCCCAATCCTGCCCTCCAAACTGGGATATTTATGCCTCCCCCCTCAAAACTAGCTGCAATTATTTTAGTTTAATTATAGTAGTAAAAATTAAAGGGAAAACAACAGCATACATAAGTAGAAATAAAAGCAAAGGAAATGAGAAAGAAATGATGAGGCAGAGAGAAAGGGGAGGAGAAAGAAAAACAATAGGGGAGGGAAAAGGTACTGAAACAAAGAGGGAGAGTCAGAAGGAATGAGAGGAATAGAGAGGGAAAAATAGGGAGACACAAGAGGATAAGAGGGAAAGATGACTGAGGGAAAGAAAACAGGTCGTTAGGTTTGGAGGAGTCATACATTCTGACAATCTCTGTGGTTGTGAAACGCTGCCAGTCACCACCTCTTAACTTCTATCCACTGAAATGTAGGATAATCAGTTAAGAGCTCTTTGTAGCTGTTTAAACTGATTCTTACATTTTTAATCCATACAGTTTCATTCTTAATGGGGTAACTCTATCTTGGTGGAAATTATTCTCTGGACTGTGGCATCAGCATCACCCTGAAGGCTTGATGAAATCCATCGCGGGTTGGAAGTTCCCCACCACCCTATCCTCTGACAGGACATATGACTGGACCTGTCATCTCAAGGATACATAGAAAGATTTCCTCATATTTCCAGATGAGGAAATTCCCTTTACCAGTGAAGATGAGAACCTTCTCTGCACCTTATATATTCTTCAAGAGTTGCCTAGATAGTGCTGAACGGGTCACAAGTAGAAAAAGTTTATGAAGCTCTGGCCTAGAATAATGACAAGTTAATTGACTTGCCCAAGGTTAAGCCAGTTTGTAATGGTGGCAGGTCTTAAATCCAACTCTACCCACCATGTACAGTGCTTCTCTTTCTCCAAAAAGGCATCAAAAATAAATTGTAAAAAGTACCTGATCTGGAATCAGAGGACTGAGTCCCAAACCTCAGTTTTGGCACTTATATAAACCCCCAGGGCAAGTCAGTTAACTTTTTTGAGCCTCAGTTTTCCCATATGTAAAATAAGGGAGTTGGATTAGATCTTTAAGGTTACTTCCATCTCTAAATCCTATGATTTATTAGAAGAAAACAAAGAACTATAAGACAAATTTAAAAAATTATATGCTCTCCAATTAGGACAAAAAAAATATTAGAGACATTGGAAAGCTCAAATATGCAGAAAAAATAAGGAATAGTATACGGCTATGAGAAAAGGACAGAAAGGAAACTATATTATATACTACATTATCTGTTTTCCAGGTCCATCTTCATATGCATGCCTACCCAAGGGACTGTCATGTTCAGTTCTTAATAAAACAATTCAAAGCAAATGTCTGTTGATGATGACATAAATAATTTATAAAACACAGAGATTTTAAACGCGAAGTTTCTGGCTTTACTATAGCTGAGGTTAATAATGACTGAATATATACTATAATTTGATTCATTAGTAGCCAACACGTAGTACACCTGAGGCACAATTCAATTTTTTTTTTTTGTGGATTCCTTCAGTAACTCCTTAGAGGGCATATAAATTAGCATTGTGTATATTCCTACTGTATTTGTTCATTTGGAAACAATATGAAGACAATCTTTGGTATCTTTTACATGCTTAAATTTGGAGGGGGGAGAAATGTATGACTCATAGAAAAAGTTACCTACATTTTACTAAATATAAAGAGAAATAATCATGGAACACATGGCAGGTTCTCAGTAAAAAGTTATTGTATTTAAAATCACAAAAGATGATTCAAAAGTAAAAATCAATTTGTTTACATTCTTTAATATGACATATAATACTATAATTGTTGAGTTTAGTCAGCTACTAGTTGTGAATTTTACATTTAAAATTAATGTTATTTAGGTCTTTAGAAAGTTTGGATCCTAAACCTGATAATGGACAGATGCGTCAGCTCTAATCATGAATTGTTTTTTCTTTAGTAGAAAAGGTTATTAGTTGAGAAAAGGTATCAGGAATTGAACTGTTTTTCTAGTAGAGAGAAAACAAAGAAACTGTTTATGATATGGAGCCAAAGGTGCTAAACAGTATTAGCTATATATTAATTTTAAACTTAAATATGAAATCTGCGAGACATAGCTGAAAAAACCAACAGATTAAAAACGTGTTTATTAGTACCAAGTGCAGGCATATGTCATTTTATTGTGCTTCCCTTTATTGAGCTTTGCAGATATTGTGTGTTTTTTTAAGGCAATTGGGGTTAAGTGACTCGCCCAGGGTCACACAGCTAGTAAGTGTCAAGTTTTGGTCTGAGGCTGAATTTGAACTCGGGTACTCCTGACTTCAGGGCCAGTGCTCTATCCACTGCGCCACCTAGCTGCCCCGAGATCGTGTGTTTTTTAAAAAAACAAATCAAAGGTTTGTGGCAACTCTGTATCGAGCAAGTCTATCAGTGCCATTTTTCCAACAGCATGTCTCTGTGTTACATTTTAGTAATTGTCACAATATTTTAAATTTCATTATTATTTTATCTTTTATGGTAATCTATAATGAGTGATCTTTGATGTTACTTCTGTAACTGTTCTGGGGCACCACAAACTGCATCCATAGAAGATGGCGAACTTAACCAATGAATGTGATATGTGTTCTGATTGCTCCACCCACTGGCCATTCCCCAATCTCTCTCCCTTCCATGATCTCTTTGGTCCTTCCTATTCCTTGAAACACAACAATAGTGAAATTGGGCCCATTAATAACTCTACAATGGCCTCTAGGTGTTCAAGTGAAAGGAAGAGTCCAACAGTGCGGAAAACTTAACTGCTGTCTTATTTTAAGAAATTGCCACTGCCATCTCTAGCTTCAGTACCCACCACTCTGATCAGTAAGCCATCAACATCAAACCAAGACCCTCCACCAGCAAAAAGATTCCAACCCCCTGAAGGTTCAGATGGTGGTTAGAATTTTTTAGTAATAAGGAATTTTTAAATTAAGATACATACATTGCATTTTTAGACTTAATACTATTGTACACTTAACAGACTACGATATAGTATAATGTAACTTTTATATGCACTGGGAAACCAAAAAATCTGTGACTCGCTTTATTGCCATATTCTCTTTATTGTAGAGGTCTGGAACCTAAACTGCAGTATCTTTGAGGTATGCCTGACACAAAATATAAAATATGGAAATGTCTATAGACTGAAAGGTTATCAGGTAAAAATCTATTATAACAGACTGGAAAAAAAATAGCTAGCAATTTAAGGTTTGCAAATTGTTTTATAAATATCATCTTATTTGACCCTCTCAACAGCTCTGTGAGATAAGCATTGTCCTCATTTTATATTTGAGAAAAATGAGGCACACAGAAGTTAAGTTACTTGCCCAGGATTACACAGTTAGTAAACATCTGTGTCTGGATCTGAACTCAGGTCTTCCTGACTCTGAGACCAACACTATCCACTGAAGCATCTAGCAGAACTAGCAGCTTTCTATGAAGTGCAACTAGCCCTAATTAAGTAGATTCTAGGTGTTAAATTCCTTGGGGGGAGAAAGATATTTCATCTATATATCAATAAATCAACAGCAGAAATAAAAGGCTGGTCTGTTATCTTGGGTTCCTGGAAGATTTGCCTGGGAAAACGAAAGGTTTAGGTGCTAGGTACGTCAAATTTAAAACAAGCTGCTGTACTACCAGGATGCCTGGCCCTTTCAGGGCAAGGATAACTGATAAGTCCCCCTGTTTCTGTGGTTAGAGGGCACAGTATAATCTATGTAAGAAAAACAACACAGCTACAGTTTCACGACCTCAACATTTAAAATAAACTTGTGACTTTTACTATCAAGTGAAGCCAAATTTCTGTGTGAATAATAACAAGTCACCATGGTTAACCACTGTCAGAAGTCGTATCACAATGACACTGCCAACAGTGCTAGTAGTAGAATGGAAGAAGTTAATGACAAAGATGCGAATTATTGGAAGAAAGCAAAGAATAATTTATAGCTGGTTTGTGTCGTTTCCAGTCAGTAATGCTCACAGACTGCAGTTTATTAACTGGGGCTTATTAAAGAAAAAGAAGTAGTACCCATATTTGTTACTGACTTCTGACTGAATCCAAAGTAACAAATCAAATTGCATGGCAGGGAGACTAGTAAAAATACAATAACACATTTTTGGAAATTATTTTCAAGGCTACAATTAGGGTTTTAATACTTCCAGCAGAAATGGAAAGAGTTTAGGGATAAATTGTCTTGGGGTTTTCCAGGTAAAGTGACTGACTACTCTATTTTATAGGTCTTAATATGTAGCCTTTATAAGTTGGAAATGATCACTCCCTTATATCCTTGAATGCTTAAAAAAAATAGCATGGAATTCACTTATTCTCTGCAAAACCTACTGTAATTTTATATGATGCCAGCATATTTAATATCTTAAATAGAGGAAATATACCAAAATTTCTAATTAATCACTTTGTAGTTGCATTTTTTTTAATGTGACATTAAACCTAAGCCAGGTTTCAAGGGCTTTTAGATGTCCATTTTTCCTACAGACTATACACATAACCATGTCATGGGAATCTTTTTACAGGCTATTTCAGGGCAAACAACAAACCTATTTTCTGCTATAACCTTCCACAGTACTTACTCTGCAAACACGAGCACTCAGTAAACTGTGGGGTTTTTGGCTTCGTTACTGTTTATGTGTCTGTCTCAGGACTTGAAACTGAAGCCAAACTGATTTTGACAACAGGAACAACTAGTTAACGAATAATTATTTTTCCCCTTTGCAAACAAGCTAATTATTCACTTATTTACCTAATAAGTTCTGCTTATATCACAGATCATTAGCACCTATCAATAAACCAAACTATGTTTGCATCTCATAAGTATGTTTGAATGCCTTAATCTTTAATAGGATTTTGGATTTAGATCTGGAAGGGGTCTTCGAGATCATTTAGTCCAACCACCTTATTTTAAAGATGAGAAAACTAAGGCTGTGGGAGAGGCACTGACTTGCTAGTGGATTTGAACCCAGGCACTCTGATTGTTAATCCATTTTCTCTTTCAGGGTATATGAAACAGCTTAGCAGAGTGGGTAAAACATTGGATTTGATCTCCACAAGACCTCTTGATTTCAAATCCTATCTCTGACACTGGCAGAGTGATCTTGGGTAAGTCACTTAGCCTGTAGGAATAGTAAGTACACTTACAAAGGGTTGTTGTGGCAATCAAATGAAATAATTCATGTCAAGTGCTTTGCAAATGTTAACCTCCCTCTGTCTCCCTGCATTCACACTGTCATATGTAAGCATATTTCAATGTGTCCTGAAACTCAGAGAGCAAAACTAACTTGAAGTATATTCACTTACAGTAGCAGAAATTCTTGTTTGATTGTAAGTTGATAACACAACTTATAATAATTTCAATATTAACTGAGTTGTAAGCCATAACCATAGTTGTAGAGCTGGAAGGGACCTTGGAGGTTATTCACTCTGCAGATGTGGAAACTGAGGCCTAGAGGGTTCAAGTAATTTATCCAAGACCACAAAGGTCACAAGTGGCAGAGCTGGGATTCAAACCCAAGCTCCTCAGACTCTTAATTCAGGGCCTGTCTCACTTCATCATGACACCTCCTCTGTTACAGATGACATGCTACAATCTTGCATTTATAAATATGCAACTTTAATTCAAATTTAAAATAGTTACTATTAGTTTTAAATTTTTTTTAGGGGGGCTAGGCAATGGGGTTAAGTGACCTGCCCAGGGTCACACAGCTAGTAAGTGTCAAGTATCTGAAGCTGAATTTGAACTCAGGTCCTCCTGACTCCAGGGCCGGTGCTCTATCCACTGCGCCACCTAGTTGCCCCTATTAGTTTTAATTTAATAGTAATTTCTAATATCTCTAATATTCATTTTTTGTAATAAGAAAAATTTTCAGTGTGAGCAAAACAGGAATGAATTCACTACAGTATATATTTACAACAGTTTAAAAAATAACTGTAAATTTTGACAAATTTATGTATGGCTCACTTCAAAAGGTGTTAACTGAAAATTTTAGGGACGTAATTGTTTAAATAAACATGCAGTGACTGCCTACAATGTGAAGGAACCATACTATATGCTGTGGATAGAAACTTGGAATAGGGATATCACTGGGGAAACAAGCATAAACAACAGGTCATTAAACATAGTGGGCAAAATGCAGTTGAATAACCATGATGAATTCATTACTTATGGAAAATATATACAAGTTGTTTAATGAAAGGAAAAGCATAAATAAAGAGGCATAAACTGAACTTCTTTGGGAAGTCCATTCAATATTGGTAAAGCACATGTTATTCAAGGAAATGAAAGTTGAGATTTTCTATGTATAATTTCTTTACTAACTCACAATAATAACGGCTAACTTTTATATTGAACTTTAAGGATGCCAAGGCACTTTATATATAGTATCTCATTTAATCCTTATGCAGATTTGATCCTCCCACCCAGAGTGTGAGCATCTCTTTGGAGTACTTCCAAAGCAGTGACTCAGGAGGGAAGAACTTGGAAGGATCAGGTAGAATTTACTAGCCAATGATAAAAATAACTTGAAGTTCATATTTATACAGGTCATAATATAATCGACTGATTTCTTTGATAAGTCCCACCTTCTCCATAACCATGGCAAAAGGGTGGAAGGGGAAGGAGACATCACATACTGTGATCTTCCTTAGACAACACCTCTTATAGACAGCCTAGGTGCCACATCTTTTTGGCCTGCCATACATTATTTCTGGGAATGGAAAAGGAACTTTGAAAAGATTATGCCCCACAAAATTAAGATTGTAGCTTCAGAATCATCCTATCTATATAATGGCAAAGATATTTATTTTAAATTCCACTTTTACCTTTGTATTCTGTTCTCTTTATAACTTAAGACATCAACAATTATAGACCTACAGAGTCACTTTTTTTTAACCTTTAGTTCCCTTTTCACATGGACAATATTGCTCTTAAAAAGTGATAGGATGATTTGACTACAGGAATTCATTTCCACTTGCTCCTGGTATTATTTAAAGCAGTGGTGTTAAATCTGAATAGAAATGGATGCCTGCAGGCCACGTGTTAAATTAGAAAACCACAAATTAACATCTATGTTGTTCTGTTTTTTTTTAATTTTGTTAAACATTTACCAACTACATTTTAATCCAGTTTGGTCTGTCCGCCAGAATTTGACACTTCTGGATTAAAGGATTTACTGGTATAAATTCATCACAGATACAAAATATATCTGTTCTACAAAGGAAACAATGTTTCTCAACTGAGCAAACTGTAATTTAAATCTAGATATATTTAAAGTAGCATAATCTGAATTTCTTGAGGATGTCCATACAGTACTGGTGAACTATGTGCTATGCAAAGAAATGAAACTTTTGAGTTCTCAAACATACTTCTATAAAGGTCTTTTATAAAAGTAACTTCACATGTAAGAAAATTTTCACCAAAGGCTTACACTGGTGAGAAAAATTATACTTTTGAAGGATATCCACGTAAAAATAGTCTTTATATGGCCATAACTCTATTACACTTAGAAACTAATTTTAAATATTTTAAGAATTCAGATTTTATGACCAAAAAACAGCAGAACAAAGCCATAAAAAAACAAAAGATAGGTATACACTTCTCTAAAAAGATAAAAGTAATAAAACCCCCCCAAAACAAACCACCAGCCTGCCATGTGTGGTGTAGATGGAAGACTTGTAGAATACCAACAGTAATGTTAAAATATCACATTTCAATTAAATCAGAAACACAGACCTGACTTTCTGGCTGCAGCTCCTCTTTCCTCCAAATCTCCAATTACTGTTAACTGTGTAAAACCTGTCTCTTCCAAGGACTTTTCAGTAGTTATGATCTGCAAAACAGTAAGATCTTTTCTGGTAACTGCTAAATTGAAGTTAAAAAGCTGTAATGATTTGAAAAAGATCTTAATATTGTCAAAAAAAAATCTATTACACATGTACAATGCTACAAATATTCCTACCAATATTCTGTTATGGTTATTTTCAAAACAAACAATCTCTTACCTTATGTTTTGAGAGAAGAGGCCTGTCGGGAAAATGGAGAAAAAAAAGAATAAAAAACATTTCCAGCAAGAATGTGCTTCCAAACAAATGTCACTGAAACTGCTGCAAAAAATGGATTCACTCTTCTGGATTCTAATATTAGCACTGAACATTTCCAATGCTGAAACATTACCATTGGTCCACATAGTTTAAAGTGCAAAGCTATATCATATGTTGATTTCACTCGATGACCAGTTACTGTGAACTGCACTTAATCTTTACTGTAGTTATAAATGTAAAAAATTTATGTAAACTGTAATTCATTATAAATTTAAAATACATTACACATATTTTTATAGCTATAAAATATAAAGCGATCAAACATAATGAAAACATTCTGCATTAATCCTTAAGAGGAAGAATAAATTATTAGGGGAAAATGTTAAATCTAACAAATGCTTAAAATGCTAAAAAAAAACCCAAAACAAAAAACAACCCCAAAATGAAATTCTGCCATTCTGTGACACAGATAAACTAGTCTTTTCCTTCTTCTTCACGTACAACATTCTGCCTCTAATCTCTATGCTTTTAATCAAGTAGGCTGCCCGTCATACCTAGAATGAAATTATTCCTCATCTCTGGCTCTTAGAATGCCCAATTTCATTCAGACGAGAGCTCAAGAACCAGCTCCTATGGAAGGCCTTTCTTAATATCTCTAGCAATTAGTGTCTCTCTCTTTTACCACTCCATCTTTGTTTTGTATTTATCTTATATATATTATGCATCATGGGGCAGCTAGGTGGCACAACAGATAGACTGCCAGGCCTGGGGTCAGGAAGACACATCCAGCCCCTAAACAATGCAGAGTCTCTTATAAGGCATCTGTAATCATTTGAAATAGTTTGACTTGGCTGTTCACTTAGAAAAGACGAAGCAAATGAACAATGTCCAGATTTCAGTCCATCTGGAGAGATAACCTGTACAGCTTGTCCACCAAAACATACAGAATATAGAGTACAGCTGGACACCAAGTTGGGCCCAGAGCTGAACCTGAGGAGAATAGAAGGCCAGACTGTTTTCAGGAAATTACAAAGCTCCTTCATTGACCTCATGCTTCCTATGAAACCAAAGGCCCATCTTTTTCACAACATTCTACAGTGTTGCTACATGGCAGCAAGGTATAGAATACAACAGTTACCAAAGAATTAAAAATGATTATTACACAGAAGGTAATGGAAAAGTACATGATGTGTACAAAATGTGCATGAATGCAACAAATAATGATTATTATTACAATTCCAAAGAACAGTAGTAAAATACATCCACAAGAATTTGCATGATAGGAAGAGATGGGTTAGTGATGAGGTAAGATGGAGGAAGGCCTTGAGCACGTTGGATTGAGCCCTTGTGATGAACTTATGGAATGGTTTGGAACAGCCTCACAGAATAGACAGGCAAGAGTGGGTTGTGGTCTTCCTAATGGAGTGGACTCTGAATCGAAGAAATTAAATGATTCATTTGAACATAAGCATCTGGCACAATGTTTGGCACACAGCAAGTATTGAATAAATGTCTGTTGATCGAACATGGTGGGAAAATAGTGAGTTAGATGTCTTATTCCTTATTTTAAAAAAATAACTTAAAAAGGTAAATTTTAATGAGCAATATAATGAATTTTTACTAAGCAAATTATATCCCCAATTTTAAAGAAGACTGATTTTTCATATAATAGGTATGCAGTAACTACTTGTTGGTTGAAAAATTTTGCAAGAAATTAGAAAGATTTAAGATCTCTATAGAAATGTATGTTTCATAATACTAATATGGTCAATTATGCTTATTGTTTTCCTAAGACTGAACCAGCCTTACATTCCCGTCTACGTGTTTCACGAATGAGAACCTTACCTACACATTTTTCAAGAATTACCAATTAACTAAAAACTGTAATTAAAAAAAAACAAACCCAAAACAGGCTAGTTTAAGTAATAACTGTATTAAAATGATAACTTTTGAAGGTAATGAAAAAAATCTGGATATCTGGGTAGCTTAGTGGTACGGTGAAATCAGGAAGACCATAGTTCAAGCCAGTGTCAGTTATTTACTAGTTGTGTGACTCTAGTCAAGTCACTTAACCTCTGTTTGCCTCAATTTCCTCAACTGTAAAATGGGGATAATGATAATAATAATGGCTCTCTCACAGGGTTACTGTGTAAACCAAATTAGATAATATTTGTAAACTGCTTAGCGCAATGCCTGGCACACAGTAGGTACTATATAAATGCTAGCTATTATCATTATTATTCTCTGAAAATACTGCTTTAGTCATTCAAATAGATCCTTTAAGATACCAAGAAGGTCATTTTTTTCTCTTCTCTACTCACCTCTGAGCCTTCTAGTAACCCCCACAACAAGATCCCCAGGTCACAGACCAAAAAGCAGCTTCTTAATCTAGTAAATGATTTAGTATGCAGTGTTTGAAAGTAATTACATCAAATATAATAGAGATTGTTAGTTTACTCTTCCAGTAATTCTCAACGAGAAGAGAAAAAAAATCCATCATTATTTTGGGAATAAAAGTGTAACTGTGTTAGGAATAGTTTTGAATCCTCTTAGTGAGAATGTCAACTTAATTTTTAAATGGGTCTTTCCTAATATTAGATGCTAGATGCTAATGAGGTTCTCCAGCATTCCCCCTTGCAGGCTAACCAAAGCTTTTACACTCACTCTTGATGTGTTGCGCAAAGTTTAGCAAGTCTTTCAAGTTCTTCACCATTCAATCCCTTTTCTGAATTCCTCAGAGATGTAACTGCATGTGGTTCTGCTGTTTTCCATTTTGCTTCTAAGTGGAAAAAAACAACAAAATACCGTTAGCCACTGTGTGCTAACAAACTATTTTAGGAAGTAAAAGTTAGTGAACAAATGAACAAATGAAATAGCGATTCATCACTAAGAAAGTTGATAGAGATTAAACAAGAAAGCAACTGGTTTTTTTTTTAAAGACACTAAATAACATTCTAGGTTTTAAAACAGAGAAAACTGGGAATGCCACTTGGTCATGCAAAATAATCAGCGAAAAGAAAGGGGAAAAGTTCTTTTCCAAGTAATCATATCAAAAGCAAAAATCCAAAGGAGAGGAAATATTCTCACAATAGGTTAAGAAGTTGTAGTAAAAATGCTACTTTCTTTTTTATTTTTTGTAACACCAAATTGGCTGGGACAAGATATAATCTTTGGCTTAGAAAACCAGAACAAATTTCTCAAGCTTTTATCTAATGAGAATTCTTCTTTCTTAATCAAACTGTACTTACCCCACTGCTCCTGAATGGAGGACAGATTTGCAAGCAACTGCTCATGATATAGTCTTTCAAGATGAATGAATTTCATTGCCTTCTCATCTGAATAGAGGATTTGAGAAAAATATAAATGCAGACCAAAAGAAATGTCTGTATGTAATTTATGCTGAATACATTTTGAGTCACGCTTTAGTTTTGTCAAAAAGAATGTTTGCCTAAAATGAGATAGCTTTACTATTTTAAAACTCATTCAGACCTAAAGTTTCCTGTCTGCCCTTACAAAGTCAATTTTTATGCACACTATATGAAGGTATTTTATAATATGAGAGAATGATGGAAACTGATGATAGATCCACAAAAATCATAGAATTTCAAAGTTGGATGGTACCTCTCAGGTCATCTGGTCCAACTCCTAACCAGAAAAGAATGCTCATCATATGATGAGATATTCAGCAAGTGGTCATCCAGTCTTTGCATGAAGAATTCTAAGATGGCTTAATGAGACAGCCCACCTCACTTCTAGAAATCTCTAATTTTGGGAAAGTTTTTTTTTCCCCTGATAAGACAGCTAGGTGGCACAGTATATAGACATCTGGGCCTGGAGTCAGGAAGACCTGAATTCAAATGTCTCCGGCACTTACTAGCCCTGTGACTCTGGGCAAGTCATTTAACTTGTTTGCTTCAGTTTCCTCAACTGTAAAATAGAGATAATAACAGCACCTGCCCACAGAGTTGTGAGGATCAAATCAGATATCTGTAAAGTGCTTACTACAGTCCCTTGGCACACAGCAGGCACTATATGAGTGCTTATTTTTTTTTCCCCTTCCCTCAATATCAAACCTAAATTTATTTCTTTGCAGCTTCTACTTAATGTTCTTGGTTTTAGCCGCTGGAACCAAAAAAAGTGCACATATCCAAAGCTACATGTTGGTTATAAAGCATGCCAAATTCTGAAGTGGGTTCCATCAGCCACTTGGTGATAACTCTAAAACTCATGCAATGGTCTATAGAAAAGGATACAGTCTTCTTCTTGAAAGTAGGTCTCCGCGATCTGTTTAAAATAACAATAGACAGAGATTAGCATTTTATTGATGAGATAGACTTAGAATACGAGGTTGTCGGGACCTTTAACCTATTTAGAAATCAGAGAGAAAAAGACCCTCATTTAGCTTAATTTTCATTAGTGAAGTTGGTAATTAGATTAATCTATCAGGATGAAGTATCCTATATCTATTTATCCCAAGGAAACCCATTCATCCCATTAACAAGTTTCTTCTCTTCCTGTTCCAGTCTCAAATCAAAGATAATTTCCCAGATTAACACAAGTTTAAGGATTAAAAGTTCCACAAAATGTAAAGTGAGTATCCACCCTCATAGTGAGACTCTGAAAAACTTTTATTTTAGAACAAAGATGTGTTCCATCAGATGAGATACTAAAACTATATTTGAATAAATTCAGTAAACATTTATTCCAAGTATTCATTTCAGAAATTACTGAAGACCTCATGGAACTACTTTTAAAAAGGCAAAGACTTGCACAACTATCAATGTTTCAGAAATGAATTTGGATGGAGGCTGAGCTTTCATGAATTACTTTAGGCTTTTCATGGAAGGCAATTTTTTCATTGTAAGTGTAGTTGTTTTGTTTATACGAGTCATTTCTCCAAAGCACGTCATAATATATATCTGCATATTCGGTCCGTTTGGCTTAGTACGGTTGTTCATGGAAGACCTTTAACCTACATGCCTAGCAAGAAAGATGGCCCATATCTACATTACCTTTCCCCTTATACAGATAGGGAAACCGAGGGGTTTTAAATTACTTGTAAGTAGTGGGAATGAAAAGGAAATGAAGTCTAAAAGGATTAGTTAACTCAAAAGGTCATTCTCTTCCTAGATCCTCAAAATTCTGAAAAGCAGATAAGGGAATATAATACAAATTTTTAAAAAATGTTTGTGAATGATGATTAAAAGACCTCCAACATGATGAATGGTTATTTATATAGGAGGATATATACAAGTATCACACAACATCAAAGTATTACAATGACCATAATCTTCCTTAAGCCATAAAGATGGTTTGGAGCTTGATGTCATGTTTTCATACTCTATGACAATTTTCCAGCTAAGTATTTCCAGTGTAAATCTTTCTCTGTGAATCCCACTAATATAGGTGAGATAGTATATAACTCTGTTTTGCTTGTCACACTGTGAAATCACCAAATTCTCAAAGCAAAGCAGCATATATACCTATATTTATGTGTCTTTATAGACCATCATCAAACTTGAAAAACTTCAATGAATTCCTATTACCTTTCCAACAAAGCCTACCTTTCTTAGCTTGGCAGTGTGGTAGGATTGAGAGAATAAGTGAACTAAGTGTCAGAAAGACTTAGTCTAAATTCTGCCATCCACAGTTACTGTTCTAAGACAACAAGACTACAGGAAAGTCACTCAACCTCATTCTCTCCTCCCTGATACTTTCTTCTCCCTGGTTTTTAGGACATCCTCTCCTCTTTTGGTTTTCCTTTTACTTATTTGACCACTTCTTCTCCGTCTCTTTTGCTAGATCCTCCTCCTGATCATGCCCTCTCACTATAGGTGTTCCTCAGAGTTCTGTCCCAGGCCCTCCTCTCTTCTCCCTCTATACAACTTCACTTGATAACCTCATCAGTTCCCATGGATTTAATTACCATCTTCATATGATAATTTTCAAATCTACCTTTCCTGTTCCACCTCTCTCCTGACCTCAAATCTTGCATCTCCAACTGCCTTTCAACATCTTGAACCAGATGTCCAGTAGACAGCTTAAACTCAATTACGTCCAAAACAGAAATCATCATCCTTCCTCTTAAATCCTCCCCTCCTCCCCCCTTCCCTATTACTTCCCAGGGCAGCACCATCCTGCCAGTCCCTTGGGTTCACACCCTAGGAATCATCCTGGACTCCTCACTATCTCTCACTCCTAATTTCCAATCTGTGGCCAAGCAAGGTGTGTTAATCTCAACTTTACAACATCCTCAAATATGCCTTCTTCTCTCCTCTGACACTGCCACCGCTCTAATGCAGGCCCTCGTCACCTCATACTTGGATTACTGCAATAGCCTGCTGGTGTGTCAGCCTGCCTCTAGTCTCTCCCTACTCCAATTCATCCTCCATTCAGCCACTAATGTGACTTTTCTAAAATGCAGGTCCAATCACATCAAATCTTCCCACCCCACCACCCCTCCCAATAAACACCAGTGGTCTTCTATGGCCTGCAAGATCAAATACAAAATGCTGTTTGCCCTTCAAAGCCTTTTATAACCTAGCCCCCTCCTACGTTTCCAGTCTTCTTTCACCTTATTCCCCTACCACATACTCTTCAATTTAGTGACACAAGACCTCTACTTTTCAGCTCCAGGCACTTTCTCTGGTTGTCCCCTATGCCTGGAACATTCTCTCCTCTATTTTCACTACTGACCTTCTTTAAGTCCCAACTAAAATCCCACCTTCTACAGGAAGCCTTTCCTAACTCCTCTTAATTCCAGTACCTTCCCTTTGCTAATCATTCCCTATTTATCCTGTATATCGCTTGCTTTGTGTATATTTGTTTGCGTGTCGCCTCTCCCATTGATTGTGAGGTCCTTGAGGGCATGGACTGTCTGTCATCTCTTTTTCTATCCCCAACATTTAGCACAGTGCCTGGCGCGTAGTAGGTGCTTAAAAAATGTTTACTGATTGATGTTCCCTTCATTTGCCATGCCCATTTTTATGGGCTGAAATCGCTTATTTCCTCACTTAGAAGTAATCTCTCCTTCGGGTAGAATATAACTCCTCATTCATACTCTACTTTGTGTTCTACATATTGGTACGCATATTTATTGCTGTGCTTTTAGATTACTGCTCCTACAGAGTGGAGCCATACCTCACTGGTATATCTTTCCACCACCCTTCACAGGCCCTACTTCCACATAGGACCTTGCATGGTGAAACTGCTCAAGATATGGTTTTTGAAAAAGCAGTTCGTGAATGATTCTCTTAAAGAGTTTTGATGATATTCATACCCCTTACAGAGTTTTATGGAGAGCCAAAACTTCCCTTACAGATTCCCTCTGCATTTTTAAACTACAGCGGAATCTCATCAAGTGGCCCAAATAATCATGGTGAGGATGAAGGATGGTCCAGTGGACCAAATCTTCAGGCAAAAACATTTCTAGGAGAGGAAGCAGTTTGAAAAAGGTAATTAGAAAATACTCTCACTTTTTCCATAATTAATTACTTCTAACACAGGTCTACATACGAGGTCCAACAGTGTTACATTCCCAATGTGCCTGAAATAAGAAGAGTAGGTTGTTCAGGATTGTTAGGTGAAACAGAAAGGTGGCTGAAAACTGCACTTCCTGAGGACAGTGGTTTCATGCTGTTCTTTCAAAACTACTGTTCCTACCCGAGGACAGAAAATAGGCATCCATTCTGTCACAATCAACCAAGGAATCTCATAGGAGTTTTAAGATATTGGTCAATTTTTCTGGGAAAGAATATTCTTTCCTGCCAAAATATAGGCCTGCTGATAGCATCAAAAACTTTTAAAGGCTCGACAAATACAGGATGTAGGGCTTAATGCTTTCTTTGCATTTCTGTTATGCTAAAGCTTAAAGCCATGCTATTTTTCAGATAGTATATGGTTGATGAAATATACTACTACATGAAAGATCATGCATATTCAAGATGTGCATCCATAAAATCTCAGTGTTAATATTCCTTTCACCAGTGCACTCTACATCCATGTCTTCTTATTCTATGCAATTATCACCCAAGTCTTCCTGAAAGTATGCTATATGAGACCTGCCCAATGAGCTAGATAGCACTTGAGTAGGATGGAAGAAGCAGATAGTGGAAGCAACCTATGGTTGGAGTTTGGCAAGGCATGAGAGGGAGTGAAGACGTGAATTGTTTAACCAAGAGTCAAGTTAGAGAAGGGAGGAAAGTAAAACCAGAAAGAATATAAAATAAAGTACTTTCTATGGTTGTTAGCAATTGATATCACACACAATCAAAAGTAGATGTGGTAGAAATACCAAGTTTTCGCATTGTAAGATGATGACAATTTTGATGAAATATTCATTAGGTCTATCAGCTATAATCCCACCAAAAGCATTCACTGTGTCTAACCATATGTTTAATTGCTGTATAAAAACAGACTTGGATTGAATTACTGATTATCCCTGTGACTTGGGTTATCTATTCCCTCTCTGATTCTTTCTTTCCCTAAACCACTAGATACGCCAGTATAGGGCTAGATTCTCCACTTTACCCCAACTGAAAGTCACCTCTCATAAAATCAGTGTCGTTCTAGGACCACGAATGGGGCAAGGAATGAAAGATATGCAAGTGACAATACATAAAAATGAAGTTTGGATCCCATGCCTACTCTTCCATCTAGTTGAGGGTTGGCAGTACGTAACAGAATGTGAATTGGAGTGGGTACCTGATGAAGGCAAAGGGGCAGAACTCTTGAATCCAATTGTTCAAATTCACCTCGGATGAGGGAGAACAGGGACTGCAAAACTTGTTTAGGCTCCTTTGGTTGATAATTAGCATTGGATTCAGCAGCATCTTCCTCACCACCAGCATGTGTAGAGACACTGATGATCTTTTCTTGCATTACTGTCGCAGTGTCTCCTGAAGAAAATTCTTTAAGAAATAAACAGAATACCTACATTAAGATTAAAATTCCTTCACATGACATATAGTAGTTTAAAATAATTATGTAACTATGAAGCTTTCAAATGGTACTAAAAATAAAACTATGCCCTAAATAAAAAGAGGGAAGCAAAAAGATAGGAGCTCAATTAAAGTAAGATTTTGTTGACTCCTTGCTAAATGCTTTTGAGTCCAAACAAAACATTCTTTCAATATCTGTAACTAAAGATATTATAAAAGCCTGGCCTAAAGAAGAGTAAAAGGGCAGCTAGATGGCGTGGTGGACAGAGTGCTAGGGCCTGGAGTCAGGAAGAACTGAGTACAACTTTGGCCTCAGACATTTAATAGCTGTCTGACTTTGGGGAAGTCACTTAAATTGTTTGCCTCAGTTTCCTCATCTGTCAAATGAACTGGAGAAAAAAATGGCAAACCACTCCAGTGTCTTCGCCAAGACCTAAATGGGGTCACAAAGAGTCGAACAGAATTGAAACTACTGAACAACCAAAAAAAGAGCATGTTAACATTTAACATCAAAATTTGATTACTTCAAAGAAAAAGAAACAATAATTCTTTTCTGCTGTCTTGATTCAACACAAATAGATCTTAAAAAAAAATATGAACCTTCCTCTTTTAACTTTAGCCTGCTAATTTCAGAACTACTCCCAGATCCCA